TGGATGAGCTTTAAGGTCCCTTCCAACCCAAACCATTCTATGATTCTATGAAACAAGTACATCTCTTCCTTGCACGTTCTGTCTTCATAAAGGAGTCCTGATCTGCGGCTCCTTCTCACCTGGAATGAGGCACAAAGCCAGCTGGGTCACAACTTGCTCCCAGCATTTCCCAGTGAGCTCTTTAGCTCCAGGTGATGCCATGCTGAACATAGTGACTGCAGGAAGCTCCTTTCTCAGGACACCAAGTAATATGGCCACACCCCCACAAATTCTTTCCCACTTTCATCTCCCCTATAAATACATTAGGGCATTTCCATCTCTATGGCATATTGTTTCTGGAGCATTTGCTGGGATCTAAGATACATTTGGCCATGTACACAAATTATCTGCTCCAAAATGAAGCCTGGCGCTTCTGCACTGTGCCTTGTATCATCACCTGAAGCAAGTGAACATGTTCCCATGCCAGGCTAGTACAAATCACAAGTGAAAACAAACATCCACAGTGCCAGGCAAAAGCATCAGACTTCATGGTACACAACAGAGAAGAATAAGCCATCTTGCTGTACCCGCACCTTTAGTTGGCTGCACACACAGAAAACAAAAGGAGTAGGTGGGGGGTGGCTTGTGTTTCTCTTCAGGGAGTGCCAGCACATATTTTTTTCACCATCACGTATTTTTTTAACCATCACTGTAGATAGCCTAGTGTCTTGTCAGATCTAGTTCCCACTCAACCACTCTATTCTTCTTGGGGAGGTGAGGAAGGGTATGTTGACTCACATGCATACAATTTGCATTTCTGGGACTTTTCTCCCTTTTTGTTCCTTTAGTGAAAGCAAAACAAAAAAAAAAAAAACCAAAAACAAACCACAGGCAGTTTTATCAGCCCAGATAATGAAAGCTCTCCTTCAAAGACAATGAAGTCCAATGTTCCTCTGCCAGTAACATACTGTCATTGCTTTTACATTGCCCAAATATTTCCTCATCCAACCGTGAGCCCCTGGTGGCTGGACTTACCTCACCTCCTCTGGGCTCAGTCTTAACCAGACAACCTCTCCACCCGCACGCCCCCGGATCTCTCGGACAACTAAAGGCAAAGAGGGAGAAACCATTTCCAGCTGGAGTGCCAGAGCCAGACCAAACTTTGCTCAGTATTAAATGTTAATACATTTAAAACTAGACTCTTTTGCAAGGTGGGTGTGTGGAGATGGTATTTATAGTGTGGAGAAAAAAACCCTTTTACTTCCTAATATTTTAACATCTTAAATCAGTTTCTACTGCCTTGTCTAAATAAATTATAATATTTGATTATTATAAATCTTATCAAAGGTTGAGATTTCCTCCAGAAACTGTATCTGTTTTTGGAATTCTAGCTCTTTAAAGCTATTTTTTTAAAATCTGGATCAGATAGGTTTTCAAAATGGCAAGCAAAGACTGAAATGTGCTCCCGAGAGCCCACACTTAGAAGTAAGATATCTTGACAATGTTTATCTCCCTATCCACTGTCATACTAAAATATACTTTTTGCCAATCAATCAGGACAGCTGATTCCACAGAAATAGGTGGAATATTGGATCATGCAAAGTTTAAAAACTTGAAGACAAGACAATTCAGGGATGATGTGTCTCTGAAACCAAGGCAGAGTTACCACCACCTTCTGGTATTTCCCTTTCATTTCCTTTCCCCTTTCCTTTCAGCACTTCAAAGACTGTAGCTTCTGTGAGTGCAATAGTTTATTCTGCAGGGAGGAGTTATGAAGTAACAGTTAAGGAAGAGTATTTCTAAGCCATATTTAGAAATAACACCACAATCAAGAGGAAAGATCTTTCCTACATCAAAACCTAAAATAATCCCTTCACTCTTCTCCTCCCAAGACTGGCTGACCTTCCACCACACCGTTCCCATATCCTTATGGAGCACCTTTCCCAGTACTCAGCTCTTCAGTGGCTAACTGGAAAGGGCAGTGTTGCCCTCTTCCCGCATGGACAGAAAGCAGTTCACACTCTGGAAATGGTTAGAGACTGCAGGAGGGATAAGGCTTTTGTTACAGTCTAGCTATTTCTGCCCACTGACTTAAACTTGGCTCTTCTAAATACCAGACTTGTCATCCCTCGCAATTTATGTTAGATTTGGATCTATGCAGCCAAAAAGAGAGAAAAAAAAAAGGAGGGTTAACATTGGCCTATTTTAAATTCTGTCATAATTCCTGAAAAACTCTGTTTAGATTGCAAATGAATCACAGGTTGGATCTAGCTAAAACTGTTAGCATAATGTTTGAAGCTTTATCCCCAGTGCAACACTATTGCCTGTAAGCAACAAAGGGCTCTGAAAGATCCTGGGACACATTTGACACTTTGTCTTCTTGGAGGAGCAAAGCAGAGGGGAAGGTGGTTTGGGGGACCCCCAGGTGAAGGTCCCCTGCAGCAAGGTGCCGTCCATCCGTCGCATGGCCCAACCCAAGCATGGTGGCTGGTCCACTCACCCCAGCAGGGAGGTGGGGGAAAACAACACTGTGAGAAATAGCAAATGAGAGCCTAGGAACAAAGGCAAAAGCTACTCGGATCCCAACTAAACACATACTAAGAAGGCAAATTGCTGTGGCAGACAACCCCCTTGATCCAAGGGCCAGAGGCAGGACGGTTACAAACCAAGAGTGGAGAGGAGAGAGGTTTGCTATGGCCCTTACCAACAACCTCTGCTGGCTTCTCCTCTGTAAAGTCTCTCCTGGCCTAACAGTGAAAATTAATGCTTAACAAGACACAACTGTTCATGGGCTTTATCACATTCTTGTCCTAGTGCCCCTGAGCAGTAAGCCAAGGGCCTAAGGTTTTTTACATATATAAATTACATGACATAAAATTTGTAAACACTGACAGATGAAATTCATCCCAACAGATAGATGCACAGAAATCCAGCCTCAGAGCAGGAGGAACAGCTCCACAGCGATCCTCTCACCAAGACAGGGCAAGAAGAGGTGAGCAGCTTCCCTCCCAGCTCTGCCTGTGCTGGTACAAGTCCCCAGGGCTGCGGAGCAACAACATTTACACTGGTTTCATCAAGGCAAGAACGGGTCAATAACTTCACAGGATTTATTCAAAACACAAGAAAAAGCTTTCTTTACAGACATGAAACATCAGTATGGAAGAAGACAGGGAAGGTGTTCTCGCTGACTTACAGAGATTGCAGAGCTGCTGCCTCCACCATGCTGCTACGGGAGAGTCCCCTGGAGCAGGGAAAAGCTGCCCTCCTCAATTCTGCCCGCATTCAGCATGAGAAGTGGAGCACGCTCTCCCTCCCCACTGCTCATTAAGCATGAGGGCAATGCATCTGCTCCCCAACTCTTCAGAAAGCACAAAACAACTGAAGAGACCACCTCAGTTAGCTTCCAGAGAACTGGAACTTTTTGGGCCAGCAGCTACATGGTATTTCTGTTACCAGAGACAAGCCAGCAAGTAATTTGCCAATAGTTGCAAAGGTAGACCAGCAGAGAGCTGGAAAGAGGTACCGACTTCCAGTTCTCCCTTTAGTACCATGGAGCATCTTCCCCAAAACATTTTTGAAATAAGGCTTTGTCTGTACCAAGCACAGCACTGTACTGGAGAAGTAAGTGTTCACTAAAATTTATTTTAAGCAATTTAAAAAAAGTTAAAAGATTAAAAAGTCTTGCAAGAATCATCAAATTGTGAATTGCCTCTCTCTTCCTTTGCCAAAAAGGCCACCTGAATGGTTTCAGAAGTTTTACAATTTGAAAGGAAGTTGCCATGGTTATTTTACAAACTGTTTATAAAATCGTCTTTTAGACTAAGAGTTTAGCTTATCAGTACAGAGCTTTGACAGTGTTTCCATAAATCAGCCCTGCTCCAAAGAGCTCGTAGGACTATGGGAACAAGTTTTACACTATTTTTCTTGTTTCCAAATGGACCAGGTTTTTGCTTGTCATAACACCTTTGAAGCAAACCAAACCATATTCAGCATTTGATCCTGACTTGTGCAATCTCTGCTCAGGAAGTATTTCCTGTGCCTCCCATACACCATAATCGGTTGAGATGAAGACAGAGATATCCACCTGCTGCATGGACCTGGCTCCACTGGGAGTAAATTTATTGCAGTGGCTCATGCAGCTACCGCGCGGACGTATCAAAATGTATTAAAACCGCCTTATAGTTGGAAGAAGTTAGGCAACAAAGTCCTAAGAGCAAGTGTTGCAACATGGAAGAGCTGTCAAAATACACCAGTGCTTAGACCTAACAAATCTGACAACCCTGATTTAAAAAGTGCTTTGACAGTCAAGAAAAATTCCTAAACGCATTAAAAACTGTTCTGCTAGCAATGCACATTTCGGAAACCGGGCAAAGTAACTTTCCCGCGAGTATAGATGTCCTCATCTGTGCCCTGGTTTATATGCTTCACCAAGTTTTTCTCAAACAGGAGGGGGTGGTAAGCTCCCATGGTACAGGCACGGTCGTGAAACTTCTGGTAATAGTGGCAAATGTCCGTCTGCCGTTTGGAAGGGAGAAATTCATACACGTGCACTTCGTCACAGAGCGTCATCATGATGACGATGCCTAGGGAGGGAAAGAAAGCAGACATCCCCACGTCAAACCAGAAAACCGACAGAACACTCCAGTGAGACAGGTGGTCAGCAAGGAGCACGCAGCTCCAAGGGGGAGGGTCTCCTCTCTGAAAGTTCAGATGAGAGGGGGAGAAAACAAGCCTGGCCAGATGGGGCTGTGTTCTGAAGCCCTCTCTTGCAAAGCATATGATCAACTTGATTACAGCGGATTGTTTCCAATGACAGCCATGCCAAAAGGCCAGTTTTTAAGAGTGCTACCATTCTCCGTGACCTTCATGGAAACTTGTGTGTCTGCCAACCGTGAGCTACACTTAGCTGATCCAAACAGCCCATCTCAAACCTGCTTGGGTAAGCAGAGACAGCAGAGATGAGACCTTCACCTTTCCCTCCCCCTGCCTCTGGTGAATGCAGGGGATATAAGAGTGACTGTGCTTGGAGAGGGCTCACCCAGACTGAGCAGCCTCTGCAACTTGGTTCCCCCGCAGCAGGGCAGTGCTGCCCTCCTGTGTCTTCTGCCGGGCAGATGAGTCACTTGAGGATATGCAACCCCAGTTCTGGGCATAGAACGGGCAATTTTCTGGCCAGATCCTGTGTAAGCTGTAGTTATTGGCTATTTTTCTTCCAAGTGCAAGAAATAGCAAATATTCCTGCTACTACTAGGGAAATAGAACCAAGGTATAATACCATAGAAAATTCATGCAGTATCTGACACATCAGGGACCACGCATGATCAGAGGAACAGAGTTTACAAGACATTAGAAGAACCCATCCATGAAGCCATGTGTTTAAGATGCATTTTAAACACATTTCATCCACCTTTTCAAATGACAATTTTAATCCAGGCTTAGGCCTTCCAGGAAACCCAGAGCTGCAAACTGGAACTCATCTGTGCCCCCGAGTCTGGCGAGGTGATTTATTTTACAAAGCAGGTAACTCAGCCCAAGTTAAACTACAGAGGAATTCACTGTCTAACATGGGCCAGTGCCTGCCTCCAAGGCCTTAACTCCAGTTAACAAGAATCTTGCTGTTGAAGTCACTGACTATGCTGTTATGCAGTTCTTCTACATGTATCCCAGCAATGATGTAATAGGTGCTGGGCAAGAGCAAGGTTGTGGAAGAAAACTAGATGCTGGATTGGCAAAAATAAGAAGTGATTCTGTTTACACAGACATAGAAGGGTGCCTGTGCCCCAGCAGCGATAGCAGCAGAGGAGGGGCTGAAGCACAGCAGTTGGACATCCACGTGGCAAACAAAACCATACGTCTATGCTGTGACTTCAAATACATGTGAACTTCCTGAGAAGTTCACTCCTTTTTATTCAGTTGGTCATGAGATCTGCTCTCAATAAGAAGGAAAAGCTTTGCAACAGCAGAATGTAAAATGAGCTCCTTTGCCAAGAGGCTGGATTTAGCATGCTGACAAACAAGACGTTAACATACTGAATAAGGGGGAACATCATTAAACTTTTCAGGGCAACTATTCAGTCTGACTATCCCCAGCCCCCTACTAAGTCTTTAGCTATATATATTTTTCCTTTTCTTTCCCCCTGTATTTATATATGGAAAGCATAAACAGACAAGCACATAAGATTTCATCTGCACTAACCAGACTGATTTGCCTGACAAGATCTGAGCCCGCAGGAGCTGTATCCTTCCTCTCACACCCCATGGGAACTGCTCTGGCACTAGAAGCTAGAAATCCTAGAGATCACCTCGATGTGGCAATCTCCTCTGCTGTTTCCATGTGGAACCAGGCCATGTTTGTAACTGCTGTTTCAGAGGGGTGCTGCAAACTGCTTACTTTAACATAACTGAGCTGCTCCTTTAAAGACAGGAAGCTTAAATTTTGGCATAAGACAAACACTGTAAGAGCAGCTCTGATAAGCACCATAAATCTGTAGATGCGTTTGAAAAAATGCATCCTGGAGAGTTCCTGTCTGCAAACTGAAGGAGACATTTAGCAGGCAATTATCTTACCAAGCATTCCTGACGATGGTGGATTAGGCTGAATATGCTCCAGAGAATTCTCCTGCAGAATATCCCAGAGTTGCCACTGCATTTTTGGATTCAGGATATAGAAGGGCTGCTCAGGATGTATACTACGATATGACTTATAGCTTTCAAAAAAGTTGTAATCTGGTTTTCTGTACCACTGCAAAATAGAAACAAGAAGTCAGACTCTTTATTTCTAGCCTGCTCTTTCCCCTAACAAATAGGAAACAAGGACAAGTGAACTTACTGCTGGCAGGGGGAAGAGGTCCTGCTACACCTACACACATCACCCACTATCCCCCACCACCTCATCTGCCCCTCAAGTCACTGTGGTGACTTGACTCAGTGAACAGAGCAAGGAAAGCCCAAATCCCATTGAAGGACCGTTAAATGAGATCAGCATCTTGTATAATTTCATTCTGCACCCCCGAATAGCAAATGATGTTGAGAACTCTGCCTTAAATGCTACAGACCCTGACCCCTCTCCATGCTGGAGTACAAAGCACTCTGTTCCATAGGCAAGAATCCCCAGCACAGCCTCTGAAACCAGGCTGAGCTGATTTGCATCCTACAACTTCCCGTTTCAGTAAAAACACTTAGGAAGGGCTTATGTTTTCTTAAAGTCATTTTGAGTTTTTTCCCTATGCTAAAAATATCCCACCGTGGTATTACTGACTCTTAAACATGCTGTACATACACCTTCCTGTCTCCTGACACAAGAATAAAATGTATGTGAGAAAATAGTGAAACGCAGTCCAGAGAAAGGAACGCAAAGACCTCAGTTGCAGACAGAGCTGAAAATAAAAGAATGGACTATTCACTCCTACCTGCTTCCACCCTGAGTATCCAAAGCTCATCACTTATCACATAACACCCTTCTGTACTCAAAATGAAAAGTGAAAGCCAGAGGGACTGCAACACCCACAAGTGTAAGTCTAGCTGACACAGAGAGGATTTGCCAGATCTTCAGAGGGTTTCCCAATCCATTCATAATGCATCCAGTATATCTCGTGTCTGATCAGTGCTTTAAATATCCAAGCACCAATCATCAGCAAATCTTACAGCAAGTGTCAGAAAGAGGAGATCAGTTTCTGACAAGATGATAACTGCTGCAGCCAGTAGTGACCTCCTCCCTGCGGCATCAGCCCATGAGAAAGTAAAGATGGTGACCCATTACACCTGGTCTGAGGCCCTTCACAGGGGTCAGGAACAGGTGTGTTTCCCTGGGAGCATCCATACATGGGATACTCACAGAAGTACATACAGATATATCTGTGATGATGAAGAGATAAACAAGAATGGCCTTAAAATGAGTGATTGCCCACATTAGGAGGAAGAAGGTTAACAGATGCACTTTAAAGCATATGAATCTGATTTTATTTACAGAAAACAGCCATACCTCATGAATTTCCGCATGATAAGGTGCTGGATCCCAGACAATTAAGATTCCAGTGTTATATAGTGCTTCCCTCAGGAACTGCTGCTCCTCAACAGTGATAAGCTTGAATAACAACAACAAACACAATAATATACAATATGCTGTGAGAATTAGCAGGCAGACAAGCAGTAAAACATATGCGAATACAGCCACAGCCACCCCACTGCTAGCTACTGAGCATGCCCTACTGCAAGCAGGCAAGGACACAACCCCCAGCGATGTTCATCCAGTGCCTGCTCCAGTCCTATCTAGCAGCAAGCACAGGATTTAGTGGAGAGTCATAATAAAAGCTGCCATTACGCTTTACAAGGTTTTCTCTATCCATCTTCAACCAAAAAAAAAAAAAAAAAAAAAAAAAAAAAAGAAATTACAGGACCCACAGAACGACCCAGCTTGTATGATGGATACCATCACTACAACTACCAGAAGCAGGCAGAAACATTAGTTGCTGCCACCAGTTGCCAGGACAGTCCAGAAAGAGCCTAATGCAAACTGTTGGCTTTATCAAGAACCTTCACTTGAACCAAAAATGTGTGCATGTGGGTGGTTTCTCCTCACCAGCACAAACTCAGGCAGTCAGGGATCAGCAGTCATAGTTTAACCCCAGATGGCAACTAAGCACCACACAGCTGCTTGCTCCCTCCCTCATGGTGGGATGGGGAGAGAATCAGAGGGGGAAAAGTGAGGAAACTTGTGCGTTGAGATAAAGACAGTTTAATAGGTAAAGCAAAAGCCTGGCACACAGGCAAAGCAAAGCAAAGCAATGAATTCATTCACTGCTTCCCATCGGCAGGCAGTTGTTCAGCCATCTCCAGGAAAGCAAGACTCTGTCACTCCCAACAGTTACTTGGGAAGGCAAACACCATCACTCCAAATGTACCACCCTTCTTTCTTCTTCCCCCCACTTTATATGCTAAGCATAACGTCGTATGGTCTGGAACATCCCTTTGGTCAGCTGGGGTCAGCTGTCCTGGCTGTGTCCCATCACGCCCCCAGCCCACTTGCTGGTGGGGTGTTGTGAGAAGCAGAAAAGGCCTTAACTCTGTGTAAGCACTGCTCAGCAGTAACTAAAAACATTCCTGTATTATCAACAGTTTGCAGCAGAAATCCAAAACACAGCCCCATACTAGCTACTATGAAGAAAATTAACTCCATCCCAGCCCAAACCAGCACACCAGCGCTGGGCCAACCTGCGACACCCCAGCTGACCCTTGAACTGAGCCCACCTCACCTCTCTGGAGCAGGGCAGTACAGCTTGGGCAAGGGAGGCTTGAATCTGGCAAGAGCAGCAATGAGAAGGAAAGTACCACAGCAGCAAAGCACATGGGCTAGAAAGAGTTATCAGTGGAGAGAGACTGCTCCACCACAGGCTTTCTCAAACGAACAAAACCAGGTGGTTCAAACAGAGAAGTTCCTCTCTACAGTCTTGACACAACCGTCACAGCTCATGGCACAGGAGGGTAACCCAGGTCTGCAGCAAAAACCAAACAGTCAGAATCAAATGAGAGGGACAGATCTCCTGTCCTTCCCACCCAAAGGCATAGCCCATAGAGGCACAGCTTGTAAACATCTGCTGAAGAAAAGCATCATCATAAAAATCAGCTCCCATTTGTCTTGATTTTCTCCACGGATCTAATTAAGAGCTAGCCAATTTATCTGTGAGTATCCCAGCTGCCCCAGCAGCAGCTGCTTCTCTGGCTGTCCCCATAACTAGAACACAAGGACACTCTCTCTGGCCAGCCCAGATGCAAAGTATTCCAAAAGTGAAAAGGGTTTCCTTGCATCTGTTCTTAACTCTGCAGGATTAGGATTTGGCCTTGACCATGTGTACTGCCTGGTTTCATTTCCTTACAGTAGCAAAATATCAAGGGTACTTGGTAGCTGGAGCATGCAATGCTGCAGGTGTGAACTTCTGCCACTGGTCTGTGGGCACCAAGGCAGAGGAGAGGAGAGGGCACAGCAGCTGGGACCAGCCACGGCTCAGCCAGGTACCAGCAGGATGGAGTACAGCAACGGGACAGGAATAGGGAACACGGGCACTTTATTTTCATTTCATTGTTTCTATTTAAAGGCTAGAAATCTTTCAGGAACTTTCCTGATATGAAACATGTGAAAGGAGGCTTCAAGAGAGACTGAGCATCAGAGAAAGCAAAGGTCAGCAAAGCAAAGCTATGTGAGTTGGCAGATGCACACAAATCCCTAGAGAGCTGTGACAGGCACAAAAGCAAAGGGATAAGAAATGAGAGGGAGCACCTCCACAGCCACAAAGCGTTTGCTGTTCCCTTCCCCACACCACAGAGCTGGTCCTTCGCACTACTAGTTGCCTATTGGTCACTTAACCCATTTGCTGGAAGAATCTGGCTCCACAGATACCTTTAGTGCCTACTTGTTCTGTTTAACAGCAACTGATTTTTTCCAAGCAGTTCAATTCATTTAAATTGCTACATGACTTATTTGTCTTGCCCTGCTTTTTTATCCTAGTTAGTTAACTGGTCTATTGATTTCCTTGTTCATTTGTTCTTTAGCCAATTCACTGTTTAACAAGTACCTTGCTAATGGAGCCCCTACCCTCCTGGTACATTTATTGACTGTATCAAAATGGGTTCCTTCTCTCTGCCTACCACAGCCAATGCCCTGTAATCTGAACATGCTCCCCTTTCCCATCACAATCGTACTCCATTCCACCGATGTGCTATCTCCTTTCTCTTCCTCCCTGCAGACTCATTAGTGACAGTAACAGCAAACACAGACAAAGCAGAGTGCTCTCCATGACAGCAACAAGCCAGCCAAGGAGAAACAAACAAGGGCTGGGAGGAATGAGGTACTCGGGTCCTTGGTCAGCTCGGCAGAAAGGAGTTGTGTCCCACAGAACGACATTGGCACTCCCCACACACACTCTTCAGCCCTTATTTTTGCAAGATGTGACTGCCTTCCCAGGGCAAATTGATGCCTTGCATAAAAGGGCAGGAAAACATGCCATTAAAGGAAACAGTACTGATGAACCAGTGAAAGTTTAAGAAAATAAGCAAGGCAGTATTAAAAGAATTTCTCTATTTAGAACTATGACCAAGCTTACAGACCTACAAGCCTATCCTCAGATCTGAGGATCCCAAATTTCTCCGCCCTGGCCAGTATCAGTCTATTAATC